TAATACTTTTTTTAAGTGTCATAGCAGACCATCTCTTTACTATTGGTTTATAGATTGTAATAGTCAAAAACACCATGGATGTAAAACTTCTTGTATAAAGATTTTGTGTGCCAAGTTCTTCCAGTTCAGGAAGGAAGGAAGGAAGAAAAAAGTTCAGAACAAAATTAATTGGAAGATTATCCTGAACTTTCAGTGAACCTTGGGAGGAAAAAAAAAAAATCATAAGACAGTGATTTGGAGATCACTTTTCTGGGAACTATGTAGTAAATTATTCCCCTTTCCAGAAACTCAGTAGTTCTGATCTCCCCTACCAGGATCTGAGAGCTCTGAAGAGTTTATTTTATTGCAAGAATGTCATTTGTATATTTTGTATCTAGCAGAACAGGTTGATGTATGTGACAAGACTATGACTTTAACTGAGTAGTTTGTTCAAGGGCTTAAGCAGCTCAAATACTTCTTCTTTAGGAAACTTTTCATCCTATGTATAGGCATATGTGCGGTTCCTTTTCATGCAGTCAGGTAAGTACTAAAGAGTTATGGGAGCTTTAAGGAGAGTCCTGTTTGGAAATCAGAAAGTGCATGAGCTTTTTCCAAGTGCAAATCCAGACATGTTATGGGACCTCAGAAGTCTAACCATGGCAGCAGTAGGATTTGTCCAGAACACTGCTCAAATCCTTGCCTTTGCTTCTGGTACCCTGATTTCATCACTGTCTTCCAACACAGCTTCATCTTCAGGCTTTAAATTTCTAGTTTTCCCCTTTGTTCAGTATTGAGTGCTTCCCCCCCACCGCCCCATGAGCTAGAGATCATGTGTCCTGTCCAGTATGTTTTTTAGATTCTCAGCAAAGTTCTGATTCGTAATGATAAAACCCTAATCCTTACCTATTATGCCTTCTAATTTTCTCTCAGTTAAGTCTCATTACTTCAGAATGTGGCCTTGAATCCCCCAACAGCTGCAGTTGAATTACCTATAGTATCTCAGGAATGTTCCATGATTTCTTGGTCTGTCTTCAGTAACAGTAAAGAACTCTGTACTAAACCCCACTCCCTACTTTTAAAGCACATACTAGCCATCCACATTCTAGATACCCAAGTCCTATCTTGTTTCTTTAATTTTTTTATTTGAGTAAAGTTGACACACAGTGTTCTGTTACTGTCAGGTATACAGTGTAGGGATTCAGTTTCTTTATACGGTGATGCCAAGCTCGCCAGGGTAGCTGCCGTGTGTCCCTGTACAACACTGTACACTATTACAGCACCATTGGCTACGTGCTGTACGCTCTTCCTTTTATTCCAGTGACTGCTTCATGCCGGTATCCCCTTTACCCATTTTGCCCACCCCCCTCCCATCTAGAAACCATCAGTTTGTTCTCCGTATTTGATAGGTCTGATTCTGCTTTTTGTTTGTTTATTCATTTGTTTTCTTAGATTCCACATATGAGTAAAATCACATGGTATTTTTCTTTCTCAGTCTGACTTATTTCACTTAGTGTGATACCCTCTGGATGTATCTGTGTTGTCATAAATCTCTATGTCAAATCACATCATTAAAGAACTATATTCCACTGTTTACAACCCTATGCCTATAGTAATTCATCCCTGTAGGGAGGCATTATTAGAGTTATGATTAAATTGTTTGCTTTTATTATGGTTTTAAGAAGGAAGATATGTGGTCATTTGATTGCAAGAAATAAAGATTTACTCAGGTTTTCTAAATAATTTGTGGGAGGCTAGTCTAGGAATACATATACTTATAAGAAAGACAGATCTCTTGGCTTCACAAAAACCAAGAAAGTGAGGTACAGCCTAGTTTCCTCAGAATGTATTTTGTTAATGAGAGCTCTGAACCAGCAGCTATTTCACTTTTTGTTCTAGATAATTTTTCTCTCCAGATTCTTGCTTATTGATAAGTTGTTTATTCATGACTCTGCTTCCCATCTGGAGCAAACTTTGTATATCGCTTTTATCACTTCCCCTCTCTGCATAGCACCCACCCTCCTGACCCAGAAAAAGAGGATCTAGTTGATTCATTTGATTGCTTTCACAGCTGTTTGGATAGAATTTTTGTAAACAAATACCCTAAATCAAATGAGGTGAGAGAGGTAGAAAAGGGGAAACTGTACCTGCAGGAGGATTTTTACATAAGTTGCAGCCTAGGACTCTTTCCCCAAGCAGTGATTGGGCAGAAACACAATAAAATAGGGCTTGGGTTTTAGAGGCATTCAGAGTCCTAATGTATTTGGTATGAGGGTATTTTTGGACATTCAGTAAAGACAATATCTCAAGGCTTTTTCATATCATCTAGGTTCTGTTACATAACAATCTACATAATAATTCAATTTTTCATGATAGGACAATCTCCTCCAAAGAACACTCAACTTATTTGTTTTTTTGCCTTAGCTATCAGGAGGCTCGAATATACATTTATGCTTGATTCCAGCAGCTGTCCTTAGCTAGGGGACTAGGTATCATGTTTTTCTCCTGCACACCCTTGAGAGTTTATCCTTTCTTTAACGGCCTACTGTTGATACATTTTTATTCATCATATTATAAACCACCTCAAATTATCCTCAAAATGAGCATACTGTTAATAATAAAGTATCCTGTAACTTATCATGTATAGATTTGTAGCAATTACATTTGGGAAAAGAACAAAACAAGGGTTAACAATTATACTTTTAAATTGAGATCAAAAGCAATATGTCAATATTATATGTAAAAACCACACCTAATAACATTTTAATGAAAAGTACACGAGAACCAGTGAACCAGAGACTGATACACTGTTGTTAGCTAAAGTCCATATTTTATTCAGAATTCCTTAGTTTTTACCTAATGTCTTTTTAGTTCCACAATCCTATCCAGGATATCACACTGCATTTAGTCCTGTTGGTTGTGACGGTTTCTCAGACTTACCTTATTTTTGATGACCTTGAGAGTTTTGAGGAGCACTGGTCAGACATTTTGTAGAATATTCCTTCATTTGGATTTGCAGATGTTTTCCTCATAATTGGATTGTGGTTAAGGGTTTTTGAGAGGAAGACCACAAAAATAGAATGCCATGTTCCTGACATATCAAGGGTATCTATTTTTTTTCCAAAGATTTTGTTTATTTATTTGTCAGAGAGAGGACAAGCAGGGGGAGAAGCAGGCTCCCCGCTAAGCAAGGAGCCTGCTGCAGGACTCGATCCCAGAACCCTGGGATCTTGACGAGCCGAAGGCAGGCACTTAACCAACTGAGCCACCCAGGTATCCCTCAAGGGTATCTATTAATATTATCATCATTGATGTTGACAGTGATTACCTGGCTGAGATAGTGTGGACTTCAGCTAACAACAGTGTATCAGTCTACAGTGTCCAGCTTTGGTTCACTTAAACAACAGACTTCCATTATTCTTTAGAATCACACAAAACTAGCAAAGAGAAACCAAAACACAAACTCCTTCTTTGACAAAATCAGAAAACATGTTGAATCTTAAATCACGTGTATTATGAAGCACAATGAAGGTAAAGAGGAATGCAGAAAGATACCAAGAGAAAATTTCCAGGGTTACAGATCCCTGGCAAAACCAACAGAACACAGTTCTCTAAAGTGGAATATGCTGAGGAGCCAAATCAACCATTCCTAGTTTGGAACAAATGCAATTGGTGACCAGGGTAGTGCTTCCCAATTGGGCATAAAAGAGAAACAAAGAATATTGGAGAACCCATGGAATCACATTGAAAAACCATATTTACAGGAAGCAATGTGCTGGTGGAGCAGGATTAAAAAAAGATTATGAGTTCTGAGTTGTCCTGTAACTGCTGATCTCAGGTGGCAGGAGAGAAGTAAAGACTAAATAAAGGCTATAATTCAAACACACACAATTTTGTAAGATGAGAATTTTTGCTGGCTTGAAGTTCAGGCCTGGATCCAGTCTGATATACATTACTGCAAGAAATTGGTTCAGGAGATACTCATTTGATTGAAAGATGGGCAAAATTTTAAAAAGGGTTGGGGAAGGAGTTATAATCTGCTTGGATTCTATACCAAGGGAGAAATCTTTTCTGGAAGGCTGCACTAGAAATTGAATGAGACAAAAACCTCACTTTTCACTGTTACCTTTTTGTGCTTTCTAAGTTCAAAAGAAATTTAGTGCAGTAAGAAAAAGAATAAGGGCTTTGAAAAAAATAATAAAGTCATTTAGACATTTGCAAAAAAATCTGAATACAAATCCTTTCGGATTTTTTACTCCTTTTTATCCAGTCTTTCATTTGCTTTCACCATATGTAATTTGACAGCCGTTTCTTCTGATGGCTTTCCTTTATCAAGCCTTTCACAAAGGCATCCAATTTATAGAAAAAACTTTTCCTTTTGCATTAATATTTCATTCTTTATGTAATATTTACTTATATCAAGTTTAGGAACAAATACATTTGACTCAGTAAACAAAGTTCTGCTGGTGTGAACAGAAGCATATGTGTTGTAAAAAGCGGCCTGCAAACCACAAGTGTTCAGTGTACTATAGGCATCTATGGTTTTGAAAAAAAAATCAGCAAGTAATGCTTGTTGATGGATTTGTTAAGTGGATGTTAGAGGAAATTACCTTAAATATGAACATATGTCCTTATTGTGTTCTTGTTGCCTTTGAAACTTATTCTCTAGGACATATAGGTACATCATTTTAAATCTTAATTTTACTCAAAAAAATGTTTATTGAGCTCCTATGTATTACACGCATAGAAACAAGTGAAAGTAAATATTTCATGTACTTGCTGAAATTAAACAATATCAGTAGGATGTTAATGCTGGTTTTATTTATGATATGCTAAATAAACGAGGTACAGAAGATATTAACGAAAGAACTTATATTGACTTGTTTCATGCGTATCCTTAGAGTTCTTCAGACACTGAAGTTTGTTTTAAATTGTTACGTTGATTTTACTTAGAGGTATGTTTGCTAAAGAAAAAGGTTTTTTTTAACTGTTGTTAAATTTCTTGTTGTTGTTTTATCTTGAAGCTGCCAGAAAAAGTTATAATGGACTACTACGAGAAGTATAAGCCTAGAATGAATGAGCTGGAAGCTTTTAATATGGTAAATCTCAGAATTAAACCTATTAAATTGGGTATGTTGCTAGACTTAAATAGGGTTCTATTAAATTTTATTATGGGACCAACCAATCTATGTTGTTTTTCTCTTACTGCAGAAAAACCCTTTTGGATCATTTCCTATTTCAGAACTATATTAGGTGTCAGTAATGTAATAAAGAGAACACATGGTAGATTTCTCTTAAAGTGTATCATAAATGCACAGAAAGAAATTTCAGAGTTCTTTGAACACATATTGGTCTCAATGCAGTTATTTCACAAGCATTCCTTTTAATGAATTTTACTCTTAGTACCTTTGAAAGCTCTCTATCACATATGTATGACTGCCTTTGGATTCTACCTCAAAGTCATTCAAAGGACATTCTTTTCCTATTATCATTAAAGAAAAACTTTTGATCTCTGCAGTATTCATTTTCTGAAGATATACAATTGGTACTGGAGATTTGGCCTTATATAAATTTCTGTAGATATATTTTCTTAAACACAAGTGTTAAGCTAGTCTTTTTTTTTTTTTTTTAAAGTTCTGCCATCCTATCTTGTTCTTTCTTTTAGTTGAAAGTTGTTCTGGCTCCTTGTATAGAGACATTGATTCTTCTAGATCGACTTTGCTACCTGAAAGAACAGGTAAATCATGACATTTTAAAATACATAATATCTTCATTAAATCCAGTAAATGGATCCACTTATATCTAGGATAAGTTTCTTTTACATAAAACTAGTCAGATAATTTTTCTCATTATATTTTCCAAGTTTAAATATTCATCCTATCTCTTTTTAAACATAAACATATGTACAACAGATGTTTTCAGCAAGGCTGCTATAATAAAAGTTTTATTCTTTAATTGTATGGTAATTACTATACAGTAGGCAGTAAACACAAGAATCGTATATGACATATTATATAGCCAAAATTAATAAAGACCAGATATAAAAGATAGTATGTATATTTTCATTTTATAAGAATTTACCTTTTAAATCACTTTGGGATTTTGGACATATGTACTCTGCAGTATAAAAACTTCTTTCTGATCAGTGCAAATTACTTTTGTTCTTTTCATAGTCATGTTTGTTTTACCTATGTTGAATGCCCCCAAAAATTGTTTTCTTGGTTATCTTTAGGGAAAATGTTTTTTTGCAGATTTTACTCTGAGCTGTGATCAGAATAGTTATGTGAACTATTTAAATTAAACCCATACGTGGATTCAGCCTTAAGTTTCCATCATTAAGTACTTTATTTTAAGAATTTTGTTTTATCATAGTGAGTAGTTTTAGTTCTTTTCAACAGGCTATTTGGAACAAATGGATTTTAATAAATGTTTGCTTTTGTTCTAATTTGTATTTTTATGGAAAAAGGCAATTTTTAAATATTTGGATTTGTGTACTTTCTTAAGCTACCAACTAACTCAGAATCACTGGAAATCTTAGGTTTCCAAATTTATAGGTGACCAAATTAGACCTGTTTTACTAGGTACTCACTATTTCCCTTTTCAAAACAATTTCCGTTGACCTAAATAAAATAAGTAAATGGTAAAAAATTAATAAAATAAGTAAATAGTATGCATGAAGATTAATAGATTGGTAATGAAGTGAAAGAAATCATATTAATTTGTTTAATACTTTAAATATTGTTTATATAATATTTTGTTTAATAATATTTAAATAATATTTTAAATAGTATAAATAATATTATAAGAGTAACATTTACATTAGAGAATTTTAAATGAAGAATATAAAAGAATAAAAACAATTCCATCTGTCAGCATTAATTTAAATTTTTGGTATGTTTTTTAGTGCCTTTCTCTAATATATATATGCCACACATATATGTATGAGTATATTATGCCTACTTTAATTAAAATTGGAATCAAATTATAAGTAGAGTTTTGCATATAATTTCTTTCATTCTATTCAGAATTTTCCCATCTCATTAAATATACTACAGAAGCTGAATAATGTTTCATTGTATAATAATTTGTTTCAGTAATACCCAATTGTTTTTGACTACTTCAAAGAGTAACCTCGTAGTTCACTATTTATGTACATCTTTATTTCCCCAGCATAATTTTCTTTTACATAGTTTGTTTTTATGTTGTTTTTATATTACAATATATAGTTTGATTCATCTTTCATTCCTTTCTTCAACAAATTGCTATGTGTTTAAATCACTTATCAATTTGCAGGAAGATATTGCATGGGCTACACTTGTGAAGTTGTTTGATCCTGTGAAATCTCCCAGATGTTACGCTATTATTGCCCTGAAGAAGCAGCAATGATTTCATTTGAAGCAAGGTATTAGATGTATCTGTTTATGGAACTGATTGCTAATTTTGCTCTTCTAAACATTTGTGTTGTATTGTGTAAATATTTGAAAAACCTTGCTCTATATTTTAAATAAACAATAAAATATTAGCTAACAACAGAATACCATAATCCATTTTTCCGTTGTCAAAGCATACATTAATAAAATAAGAACTCATGAAAATACTAAAAAAGGATTGACCTACGTTCCTGAGTTAGTATATCAATAGGACATTGTAATCTGACATTCGTTTTCTGTTCTATATTTGAGACCCTTGATATTTGCTACATACCACATTTTGACGTTTACTGACTTAAAAAAAACTTTTATTGGCAGAGGAATGGTAGAGGTGTGTATATAGTAAAATTAGTTGGTACAGAAGATCATTTGCATTTTCCTCCAGATTTTGGAAGGATTTTCCATGTTATCCAGAGGGGAAAATCCACATTCAAAGGAAAGAAACACCCAGGAACCAGGCAGACATAAAAAGTGCTTAATATGTGTTTTAGTCTAAGTTACGTGAGGAAATATTCTGTGCCCTTAAAGGAATTTACATCTTGTGAGATAATCACTTTATGATTCTTGAAGCTATTTATCTTAGTAAAATAAAGGGATGGGTTGCACTTAATGGAATTACGTTGTGCTCTGTAGAAAGCCAATCAGAGAAAAGCAGGAGTATAGGAAAGAAGGCCAGCACTGTGCCTGGTATGGTGCAGCTTCTTTTCATCTGCAGAAATCTTGAGGTTCTAATATACACAGAAGAGATGGACAGTTGGGGGAAAGCTTCCTTGATGCTCAGCAAAAGACTGTAAAATTCTCCCAGCCGAAGAAGTAACTACTCTCTTAAATTTTAGAGTCTATCCACAGATGGAAAGAATAACTTTTGCTTTGGGTTGTGATATTAAGTTTGCAGCCATTTTATATGTGAATGACCAGGTACTTTGTATAGCTAGTTTAATAATGGGGAAATTAGCCATTTTTTAAGCTTATTATGGAAAATTTCAAATGTGTTCAGAAATGAAGAATCTAATGAGTCCCCATGTACTCATAACAAACTTCAGTAATTATCAACTTTTTACCAATCTTGTTTCATCTGTACACTTACGAGCATGCACACACTAACATTTGCCACCCCACTCCCAGATACATAAAATCTTGAACTTTTTCCCTGATGAGTAAATATATAACATTATTTTCTCCTTATAATAAAGAAAAAAAACTTCATATGTGTAAAGCTCTGTTTAGTATAGAGAAGTGAATTCCAACTGTTTCAATACCAAGGAAACTATAGTAACTTCCCTGTGTCTTAAAACATTGTCAGAAAGTACATTTACCAATTAATGTTTTCCATTTTTATTAGAGACATTTGTGTGACTCAAGCTAATCCACATGAGAGAACCTGTATGATCACACTGAGATGATAATATTTCAGCAAATAAAGCAAAGAAATATCCTATTTTGGTAGGGCTAAAGCTTTATAAGTATCAATCCCCATTTCAATGTTTGTAGACTCTCGTCTCATAAAAACTGCTCTTGGAGAACTCAATTCAGTTTACAGTTGAGCTGAGGAATGTGGGGTATTGGCAGAAGCATAAGTTATGACAGTTACATTCTAACTGGGCTAAAGCAAGACTCTTAATATCTGACAGCCTCATTTGTAAAGTGGGGTTTCATTTAATTTTCAGTTTAGAAACATTTATTGAATGATTGTCATGTGTCAGAGGTTATGCTAGGCACTGACAGCATGGAGACAAGGTATGTCCTTGTTCTTAAAGAGCTCACAGTCTAGTGGGGAAGACAACAAAAGTTCTGTAATCAGTACTGTAATTATTGTATGAGGCTGAGAGGGTCAGGACATAGGATCCTTTATAGTATCTTCAAATAGGTAGACTTCGGGGGTAGATAGACTCAGTAATTTTAGTAGCATAGCTTAGATTCATGTGAGTTAAATTGTGTGTCCTTGTGTAAGTCATTTTAGTATTCAGTATGCCTCAATTTCTCATCTGTAAAAAGAACATACGAACAGAATTTACTTACAAGGTTGTTAGGATTAAAGGAATAAATATGTTATTGAACTCCCCCAAAATATCTCTAGGCAATCTGTTAATAAAGCAAAACTGAGTTTATTAGAACTCTCTGTAGTAATAGAGAATTCTGCCTCGACAGTCTCTGAAGGTGAAGTCAGGAGAGGATATTTATAGGATTGTGAAGTCTGGGCTCAAGTGGTTTAAAAAGGTGGCTCTTTTCAGGTGGGGACCAGATTGTAATTTGGAAAAGTTCATGACAATAGTTTTATGATTAGTGTCTATAGCAAGGGAAGGGTCTCGAAGCAAGTCTTGTTAAGTAAACTGTTACTTGATGAGTGAGCTCTTTGCCAAGGTGAGCAGATTGTCTGAGATAAATTAACATACGAGTATTTCCTGAAACAATGAACTTATTTATTGGTTTACAGTCTTATCTTTCCTGGGCAGTTTTTCTTTAACAAACAAATAAATCATGTTGACACAGGTGGTTTCAGTTCTTAGACCCCATAGCTCTGTCATATTAATGCAGATGGTTGCAGTTCTCAATGTAAAGCAATTAATTCTTGGCACACAGTACATATATAAAGCAAATAGTATAGGGTAGTAGACTTACATCCAGATATGTCAGTAATTCCATTAAATATAAATTGAATGCTTCAATTATAAAAACAAAGATTGACTTACTGGAAAAATAGAGCCCAATAACATGTTAGTTAGAAGAAACACAACTAAAACAAGGGTACAAAAAGTTCAAAATTAATAGAAAAGGCATATTTGCAAATATTCATCAAAAGGAAAATGTATGAATATCAAAATAGATATTAGTTAATATCAGGCAAAAAATATTCTTGAAGATAAAGAGAAACCCTTCATAATGAAAAAGTTTCAGTTTGCCAGGAGAATATAATAATTATAAGTTGGTATTTAGTTAATAACATAATCTCAATATATAAAACAAAAATTAACTATAAAAGGAATCTGTAATCATGCTGGGAATATTTTCATGCTCCCATCAATCTTACGGGAAAAGCAAACAAAATCATAAAGATACAAGATTTGACCAATGAAAAAAGTAAAATTGACCTAATGGACAAATACAATAAACTGTCCCCAACCACTACATAATTTTTTTCAAGTACATGTGGAATTTTTTCAAAAAATGACCATGTCCTGGGCTTTGAGGTAAATTTTAATAAATTACCAAAAAATTGAAATTACAGTTTCTGACCCACAATGCATTTAAGCTAAAAAAATTGTTTTAAATCTAAGTAAAAAATTCCCATATACTTTAAACTTAAGAATTATACATGTAAACAACTTTTGAGTCAAAGAAGAAATCACAGTGGAAATTAGAAAATATTTTGAGTAATAATGAAAATAATTGAATTATAATGATAACACTGCACATCAAAACTTGTGGGATGAGCTAAACCATGGTATAAGAAAACATTAGCTTTGAACACATATTAGAAAAGGCAGAGACTAAAAATCAAAAGACTAGTAGTTAGTGAAAGAAATGCACAGAGAGATGATTAACACCTTCAAAAGTTGGTTCTTAGATAATAAAATTCATACAACTCTGGCAAGACTAATCACTAAAAAGATAAACATACAAATAATCAGTATCAGGAATATAAAAGGGAACATGCCAATAAATTTGCCAGTGCATTTATGACAATAAATGTATGAAATGGAAAAATTTTTCAAAGAAACACAATATGCCGAAACAACCTCAAGAAGGAAAATAAAATATGAATATTCATACAACTATTAAATTGAATCTGCAATTAATCTTTTATTTCCTACATTTCAATAAAAGTACTTTGTAGATGTGGCACAAAATTCAATCAACCACTGTCTGTTTACAATAGTATGACTAAGTATTCTAGACACTATAGGTTGGGGAGAAAAATTCATAGAATCTATCTTTAGTAGTTTATAATCTGTTCATTGAAACACGTATAAGAGGCATATGGAAGAGTTAAGATTTAGATAATGACATTTGGGAAGAAAAAAAAGTGTGTACATAAACACACAGTCCTTTATTATGAACTGCCTTTGTCCTAGACTGTTCACTTCTCTTCTATTCTCCTCTTTATAGATTCCTTTAGGTTGCTTTTAAATGTGGTTAGTAGAATGACTTATTTTCAGGAAGGAGGACTGTTTAAGAAATAATCTACTATATGAAATATGTGCTCTGCTAACCTGTGACCAAAGGAACTGAAAGTCTCCAAACATCCCCAGATGGTTTGTACTTGGCCAGTGATACTACTGGCTGCATGTATGGGGATTTATTAGTTGATGTATTTATCTCAATGGATTGCCTCATTAAGTTTGCAGATGTTCTGTCAATGAAAACCTTTAAAAAAATTATACTGTTTTTATTAGAGTTTTCCAATGCACAATCCAGAATAAGAGAGTTAACACATTTCAGCACAGAACAAAGTAGCATGTATTTTTAAATCTCATGGGAGGAAAAGCCTTTAACTTGTACTCAGACAGTTAAGATTGAACATGTTGAATTTGAGAAAAAAAAGGTAAAGTATACAAATTCCAACCTAAAAGTCACCATTTGGTCAACATGGGATTCGGTGTGCATCAGCTAATCATGTTGAACTAAGTGCACATATATTCTGAGTTAGCTCCCCTCTCAGGAAAGAATCCAGTGTTCTAACACTGCTACAGCTCTTTAAGCAAAAGGCGCAATGATGGTTTTCCATCAAGCAAAGTGTACTCAAATAATGTGTTTCAGGGGAAAGATAAAACAATTCCAGATACCATTTGATTATAACAACAGACATCTCTGGTGTTTGGTGACTTCAGAATATTTCTAATTTTAATAGATAGTATAGCTGCAGGTAAACCTCTATGAATAAAGGCATAAGAAGAGACTTTAAATCATGAAAAAATTAAGTGCTCTATTTCTACTTAAGCTAACTTAAAAGGACAGAACTAAAAATAAAGTT